CTGTGTGCCCCCAGGCCAGGCTTGGGCAGACAGACCCCCCCAGGGCTAGGAAAAGGTGGGTCCTCAGCAAGAGCCTCCTTGCAGCCATGGGCCAAGCGGCTGCTCCGAAGCACAGGAGCACTCGCCAGCTGGGACCAGTGGTCAAGGCCAGCACTGGGGGGCTCGTGCTGGGACCCCTCCAGCCTCGCCTGACAGCAACCCCCAGAGACACCACTGGCTCCTGCCCACGGACCCCCGGCCCCTCGCTCCTCCAAGACGTGCCTGCCCACACGCACCGCGGTGGCACAGCTGATCTCTGGAGCACAGGCAGGAGCAGCAACAGCATGTTTGAATTTTATTTTTTTTTCCCTAAATACAAAGCAATTTTGGAAGTTTTGGGGGTTGCCTCCTACAAGCTACAACAAGCTTTATCAAGCCCAGATTCCTTCCCCTTGCAGAAAGTCATGCAAACCTGCAAGCAGGGAGGGAGAGGAGCACTCCAGCTCTGGAGATAAGACAGGGACACATGGCAATGCCCCCACATACGTGCCTTCCTCCTGCAAAGCACAGCACCCAGCACCCCAGGTGCAAACCCCTGCGAGCTCAGCCTGGAGGTCAACAGCACCCTGGAGCACGCGTCCTCCTGCATCCTCCCCGGCCTCCTGCATCCCATTCGAAGGAATGGGGCTGGCGTGCAAAGGGCAAAGCACACGGGAGAGAGGGGAAGGAGCATGGAGGGAGCCTGGCGAGCCACCACGCTATTGAGGGGGACACGGAAAAGTCGGGGTGAAGGGCACCCAAGGCAAACAAAGACAATCTGACAAGGACCCTGGGGAGAGCGCTGGCTTTGCGGGGCACGGCTTCAGATAAACTGCTGGAGCATAGTGTGCAGCCCTGACCCAGAACTAGGTTAAGTTTGTCATCGGTGAGGAATGTGCATTATTCACAGCCATTTGGCTTCTTCTCGCCACCCTGCTCTCGGGCTCCCCAGAAGGACACAGTGCCGAGACCCCCGCCTCCCGCAGCCACCGCTATTTTGGGCCATGCTTCCAAACATGGGCACTTCCCACCGGACACCCGGGCTTCCCCTGGGTGCAGCTGGGAAGCACCCAAAGGAGCGGTCACAGGGAGGGTGCAGGGAGGGGATGCTCAGCCCTGGCCCCCCGGGACTTGGCCACGAGCCCAGGGCAGCAGTTCCCCATCACATCCATCTCTCCCTGTGAGTTGGGATGTCCCCAGGGAGACCCAACCCTCCAGGAGCTGGCACGAGAAGGGATATTTTAGCCTGTTCCCTGCCCAGGCATTAGAAACTGAGCATTTAAAAGTGGAAGCAAGTAGGAAATTTGAGTGCCAAACCTCCAAGGAAGGAAAATATCTCCGCTCCAGCCCAGAGGAAGAAAC